ATGTGAATCGCTTATAACTTTTGAACGGTTGAACCGATTTCATCGCGGTTGATGCCATTCGAAAGGGCTTCGCCAAACTTAGATTCCCTGTTAATTTAAATCGATTCGGACCGACAGATTTTGAGAAATTTTAAAAAATCTCAAAAAAAATAAGAAAAAAATCATTTTTGAAAGTTGTTCTTTTGGAATATCTTTTAAACGGTTACGTGCGTTAATATCCCCGACAAAATAACCCCGACAAAATATCCCCGCGACAAAATATCCCCGGACAAAATTCTTAAAAATTCTCAAAAATATAAAAATTCATCAATAATAATTTGAAAATTAATCTCAACATTATTTTTTAGTGTGTTTGTGTGTTTTATTCAAAATTAAACCAACAAAAACGCGGGGATATTTTGTCGCGGGGATATTTTGTCGGGGATATTTTGTCCGGGGATATTAACGCGCGTCACCCTTTTAAACGGCTTGATCGATCAACTTCAAAAACTAATCTGCCCTTAAGCTAGAAAAACCACGCCGATCGGCGCTAATCCGGTCAAAATCGGTTGATTCGTTCGAGAGATAGCGTGAACGAAAGAAAACCGAAAAAAGTGTTTTTTCACATAATTTCGATATTTCTTTTCGGATCGTTTTTGGTGAAATAGATTAACTTTTAGAGCTCAAAAAACAGCGTTGATCGCCGCCAAGAACGTAATAATCGGTTGATTGGTTCGAGAGATATCCTCGACGAAATAATTCGAAATAAGGATTTTTTCGACATAACCCCAACATTTTTTGGAATAACTTTCAAACAGCTCTACCGATCGATTCCAAAAACTAATCAGCTCTTAACATCAAAAAACCACGTCGATTGCCACCGAGCTGGTCAAAATCAGTTGATTCGTTCGAGAGATATCGTGAACGAAAGAAAACCGAAAAAAGTGTTTTTTCGGGATTACTCCGAAATTTTCGGTTTGATTAATTAAAACCTGGAAATAACTTATGAGGATGATAAAACGGCGTCGAATAGCGTCAACCGCGTGAAAATTGGTTGATCCATTCAAAAGTTATTGCGGTTCGGAAATTCCAAAAATAGTGTTCTATGAAACTTCTATCAGGCTTTTGAGCTGGGTGAACCGTTTTTCTATTTTTTTTTTTTGAGTTGTCAAGGGAGATGAGGTACCAACGGCTGAGTTTTCGGAATTTTTAAATAAAAATTTCACAAAATACTGTTTAAATATGTATCTTTGATATGCTGAATTGTTTAAATAATATATATGATTGTATATACTAAAAAATAAAATTAGGAAAACAGTTGACCCTGAAAGCCATCCCTGCAACTTCCCGCTACATTTGTAATGAAGCGCTCAAAATCGCACTTACTACGTTTTGGAGCTCTTCGAGCTCAAAAATATATTATTTGAGTGGTTTTGAGCTCTTCGAGCTCAAAAGTCTGATAGCAGTTTAACAAAACACTATTTTTAGAATTTTCAAACCGCAATAAATTTTGAATAAATGAACCGATTTTCACGTGGTTGGCGGCATCCAACGCAGTTTTTTTTCAATTCTATGATATACTTCCCATCACAAATTGATCAGACCAGAAATTTCGGTGTAATTCGAAAAAAAACACTTTTTTTCGTCAACGATAACTCACGAATGAGTCTACCGATTTCGACCAACTTGGTGACGATCGATGTAGTTTTTCGATGTTAAGAGCTGATTAGTTTTTGGGATTGATCGGTCAAGCCGTTTAAAAGTTATTGAAAAATAACCACATTCAGAAAATTTTTTTTCGCAGTTTTTATGAGATTTCTTAAAATCTACCGGTCCGAATCGGTCCAAACTGTATTTCCAATCTAAGTTCAGTCAAGCCTTTTCGAATGGCACCAACCGCGACGAAATCGGTCAAGCCGTTCAAAAGTTATAAGAGGTTTACATACGTCCACACACACAGACACACACACACACACACACACAGACACACACACACACACACACACACACACACACACACACACACTGCCGTCATCGTAGGAATAGTCAGAATAGCTTCTAGGTCCTCGAAACGTGGAGATCTGATGGGAACTCGATTTTCGAGAATTGGGGTGAAACCAATAACTTCTTGAATTTTTGAAAGTCATTGATTTTCATAGCGGGAAGTTGAAAATAATTAAAACGGCATTTTAATCTAGGTTTTTAAATGCACGGAATGATGTAGAATCAGTTGAAAATATTGAAAAATGGATTTTTGGCAGACTGCTGAGAAAAATGCAAATTTCATGATTTCCTTCATTTATTTTTTTTTTTTCGTTATAAAAAAAGAGTAGAAATACTCGGAACTTATGGATGATTCAAGGTCATTTCATATATTTAGAGTTCTAGATTCAAATTCGGTTTTTTTCTTTTTTCTTCTTTTTTAACTTCCCGCTAAAAAAATCGAAGATTTTAAAAAATCGGGAAGTTATTGTTTTCACCCCGTTTTGCAAAATTCGAGTTTTCATCAGATCTCGACGTGTTAATGTCATAGGAAGCTATGAAGCTTCCCTGACTACCCCTGCGATGTTATATATATATCTGTATGTATTTATTTATTTATGTGTGTGTGTGTGTGTGTGTGTGTGTGTGTGTGTGTGTGTGTATTTTAGCTATTTTTTACTCTTTCCCGGTCGACCTTGAATCCCTACTCTTAATTTGAATCGTACGTCTTATTAGAGCTATAGTCTGTTTTCTAGAGAGGGGGCCGGAAAAATGGTAGAAGGGGGCGCTTATCTACACTACCACAACTAAAATTTTACTAATACAGCCGTAGAACGGACTTTGATTGGCTCTATCCCCACTTGACTCACATCTAGACTCACCGATACTCTGAGCCGGGAAAGGGTTAAAATATTTTAACAAGTGAAAAAAATAAGGCAAAAGTTTGGAAATTCCAAAAGTGCACGCCTTATAACGCTCATTCATTTTTTAAGAAAAAATAAATTGTGTAATTGATTAAAAAAAAAAAAATTATAATTAAGTAATTTCTTACAGAGTATTTTTTTTTTTTTACATATCAGCGCCTCTTTTTCTTGTCATATGCGCACGCAGTTTAAAAAATCTAGCTTGATCAAGTGACGCCATAGTTTTCACGTTACAAATAAGAAAAATTCGTTTGTCTTAGCACGGTTGTATCGTAGTGAATTTTAATAAAAATTCAATTTAAAGAAAAATACGTAAACTAGGCTACTGATATGAAATACGGACCCAGTTCATCGCATTCTTGGACTAATAAAAAAGGTCCGGTCTTGAAATATCAATTTGTTCGGGAGTAATCGTTGGTACATCCAAAATGGGGTGACATCCGGACGTCCACGTAAAATTTTTTTTAAAACGTTTTTTTTTTATCAAAATAGCTACATGAAATGATTTTAGAGAATAAAAGATGGTTTAATTTAAGTGTTTTCTCGGTGCACATCTACTTAGATTATTGTATAAATGTAATATGGTTGTGATAGAGACATTTAAAGATCACAAAATTGCTTGACTTTGACGAGTCGAGTATATAAAGCACAACCTCACGCTCTTCGCGCTATGAGGCGTGCAAAAGTTGACTTCTATCTTCATGGAGGTCAATGAATGTTTGTAACACTTTCTCTTTAGGCGATTAGCAAAAACGTCAAATTATTTTCAAAAATGGTAGTCATTTAAAATTTTTAAAGAACAAAAAAAGCTATTCCGGCGGTTATTTCGTTAAATAACTTTCGAAGGACAGAAATAAACTAATTTATATTAAATTTACGTAAATGGTGATAAAATCCCATCATAAATCCCATCATAAATCCCATCATAAAATTGAGATGAAATGTATGTGAAACCAATCTATTCGTGATGTGATTGGTCGAATCTATCATATGCATGAAAATATATGCAAACTCTGTAGTCAAGGCGCGCGCAAATTTGAATTCTAGTAATCTTTAAAATACTTAACTTTTTATTTTACAATAATTTGGATGCCGAATAGTTCATTTTTAAGCATATAGATGTCAACTAACGAATCCAGATATTAGAGTCAATCGTCTTTCAGATTTATTTCTACATATGTGATCTTAATTCATGAAACAAATAATTAAAAAAAAAAAATTCTTTCTTCTAAAGTAGATTTTATCAAGTCTTGAAAAATTATTTTTCCATAATTTCGTTAAAAAAAGTCGTAGTGAATATAAAATAGATAAAGCATTTGCCATAAATTATTCGGAAGTGGAGACCACCTTGTCTCCAGCCATAAAATTAGAATGATTAAAATATTTTTGAACATTCACTCATTTCTAACTTTCCGCTTTAAAAATTAATTATATTCAAAATGACGAAAAAATTATTGATTTCGATTGGATTTTGAAAAGTTTTTATCACATCTCCACGTTTTGAAGTCTTCGGAAATCATACTGACTCGAAGAGCTCAAGAATTAACTAATCGTTAAATTTTCGAGCGTTTTGATTCAAAAAAAGCAGGAAGCTTCAAGAATGACCTGCAGGTTCAATCGTTTTTTGAATTTTTAAGTATTCCATCTCATAAAAATGAAAAACTAAATGAAAATTTTTTATTTAATGTAAACTTTCCAATTTTTTTTAGGTTGAAAAATTGATATTTTTTTTCAAAATGTATTCCTTGTCAATTATTTTATTTTTGATCAAATTTAAAAAAAAAAATTGAAATGAAAACTTGATTTATCAATATCGGACCAAAATCAATTTTTTTTTTTTTTAAAGTTAAAATAAAAATACGAGGAAGTGTTATGTTCATGAATTTTGTTAACGATTTTCGGTAAGCATTTAATTTTTTTAACATTAAATGCTTCAAAACTACTTGAAAAATTTTATTTGACTGTTTTTATGATTTTTAAAAACTGAAAAAATTATTCAAAAATGTCGATTTGTTCATTTTTCAATACCTAAAATATGATGATTTTCACTTTTAAACAATTACCAAAATTTCTTATCGTAATTCATTATCAAAATTCGTGTAATAATTTTATCAATTTATTATTAGATTTGATTTTGAAAATTTTGGGAAAATTTTTTAATCTCATATAAACAGAAAAAAAAAATTAACTTGTATCAAATAAATAATTTTGAAAAACTTCGTCTTCTTAATTTGAGTAGAAAAATTCTTAAACTAAAAAGTTTTTCTTGGTTCAAGTAAATTTTACTTGATTCAAGAATTTTTCGTCTTGATTGAAGAAAATGAAACTTTTTAAAATTATTCTTGGTTCAAAAATGTTTCTCTTGATTCAAGTTATTTTTTTTTTAGTGTTGGTAATATATCACAAATCTTTGAACTTACTACTTCTGCATAATATGAATTATAATTTAAAAGTTCTCGAACAATAGTTTGCAATTTTGATGGTAGCATCGCTTTGTATTCATTAGTCTGCAAGATGTGAGCTTGTTGAGCAACTAACAATTCAGCTCGTCGTCCATCCCATGTATTGTTTTTATTTCTGAAAATAAAATTCAATTAAGAATTGTTCCTAAAATTTTTTTATTATACTTACTTATCTACATTACCTTTTTACGATGTTTCCTGTAATTTTATCACTTTTCCAGTTTGCGACAACCACAGCACTTCGATTGAAATTTCTGACAAATGCATCGTAAAGTTGAGCTACATCAGAAAAAGATAACTGTTCAAAAAATACAATAATTCTTCGGACATAAAGTCCTAATACTGAATTCCTGCAAAGTAAATGAGAAGAGAGGGAATGATCCATTGATGATTTCATGAATCTGGTTAAAACATCAAATAGTTCTGATAGTCCTTCAATTCCAGTGTTACACATGTGTAAACATTCTGATTCTAATTCTTTAGCAAAACATTGAAGAATATGATTTGGTGAATGAAGTTCAGTCAACAGTGTATCCATTTCCATGTCTGGTGTCTAATATAAATAAAAAAAGTATGATTTAATATAAAGATATTACAACTGAGACTAAAATATTTTACTCCAAAGACAAACCTGAATCAATTTTAAAATGATGACACAAAAGTCACGACGTTCGCGAATAGCTAAAAATCAGATTGTTAATACGTTAATTATTCAATAAATATAATTTTAAAAGTCAAATGGATCTTATGGGAAAAAATCAAATATTTTTTTACAAAATAAATACAAAGTACTCACTTTTGATGTTTGTAGAACAATAACATTTTATTAACAGAATTACAGCTATTTTATAGGGTGTCAAAGTATCCTTTGGAGATTTACTGATATGTTCTTCAACATTTGAAAGCTCTTTATACATTTTTACTTGTACTAACTTATATTAATAACAATAAAAATGATGAGAAATGCCGATTATGTTACCCGCTAACCTAGATGGTAAACACTATACTTTTTTGATTTTTAAGCAGTCAGCTGATACTAACAAAGCGCAGTCTAGATCTTTCAGTTACTTTTTACATACATATGTCTCCGATATGGTTATTGAGAGGTAGCAAGTGTGATGCACCCAGTGCATCCAACAGGTGACGCTACCTGTTATTAGAGCGCTGTCTATTATGAGAGCGCGAATTCAAACGAAATATTCAAACTAGTAAATATTAAATGATTAAAATTAGTTAAATTTTATATTCGAAGTAAATATTCCAGTCCTTTATTTAATGCTTTTACTCTTACCAGTTGTAAAATAAACATCTTTTGGTTAACTCTGTTTTATTTACAAAAGAAAATAAAATAAAATAAAAAAAAAACATATTTCGGTACAAAGGTACATTGTAACCGAATTTTCAAAACCCATAAAAAGTACTTGAGTAATTCAAGGACTTTCTCGCCAGATGAAACTTAAAACCCTATGAGGAAAAGTCGTAAAAGACACGTGTGAAATTCAATAGACCCTTGTTCTAAAGTAACAAAGAATAATAAAAAAAAACATATGTAACTAAACAAAAATAATATTGTTAAATAACATTTACTGTTAAAATCTAACTTTATATAATATTGTAGTTAAGCAAAATTGAATTAAAATAATTAATAATTAGTATCTTATATTTAATTTATAACTAATAATTATTAGTTAACTAATTTACTATTAAATCATTATCTAATTATTATTTAATTTATAATTAAATAATAATATCTATTCTTTTATAAATGATAATAATTAAACTGACTGATAATTTTATTAGAAAATCCAATTGTAAAATGATAGAAATAATATTTAATCCAAATTATTAATTATTCAAACTCAAACATTAGTCCAACATATTATAAAATAATATAATACATATATATAGTTTCATGTTATAGTTTATTATAATTTTATTGTAACTTAATTTCAAGTTAATTATAAGTTAATTTTATTATAAATAGATTTTAAAAAGGGTTTGTTAAATTAATAAGAATAGTTGGATAAACATAATGACTGTATTGCTAAAAGTATATATAAGTGAAGTCCAACTTTCAGGCCGATAGGCTGAAGTAAATATATATAGATATAGAGAAAATACATGTTAGTGTATAAGGATCATTATACATTATTCCTTAGAGTGGATGTATGTGTGGAAGTTATGGTGGGAGAAGAACGGAGTTTGAAGATCTTCGGAAAAACTATGTAACGACACTTCTCATCGAGAGATTAGATTGCTAAGATCACGTCATTGTAAACCCCAATTTTATATTTTGAAGTTTTTAATATTTTGTCAACTCGAATAATAAATTGAAACCAACTAAAGAATTTTGATCAAAATTAAATTACGTCTAAATACAGTCAAAACCGTTTACAGCGACATCGCTTACAACGACGAACCGGGTATAACGACGAAATTTCAAGGTCCCGTCTTAATGCAATATAAAACCTTCAAGCTTAAAACTGTTTATAACGACATCGCCTATAACGACAAATCGCTCATAACGACCATGGTTGAACCATCTTTTCGAAGAAAAATATCGTTTATAACGTCTAAGACATGCTTTTGCACTTATATTTAGGTCTGCCCTGATTAAACAGAATGATTTGAAATGATTAAAAAATTTTTAATCATTTCAAATCATTTTTAATCGTTAAAAAATAATTAAAAATGATTCAAAATGATTAAAACTTTTTAATCATTTTAAATGATTTTTAATTATTAAAACATGATTGAAAATGATTCAAAATGATCAAAAAATTTTTAATCATTTCTAATCGTTAAAATATGAATTCATAAAATATTTCTAGTCACTTTTAATCATGTATGATTATATATAATCTTGCATGGCTGTGTATAGCTCCATATATAGTTATGTATAATTATATATGATTATATATAACCTCATACACAATTCCATATATCATCATGTATGATTATATATAATTATGTATGATTATATATAATCTTGCTTGGCTGTATGTTGCTCTATATATAGTCATATATAATTATATATGATTATAAATAACCTCATATACAATTTCATATATAATCATGTATGATTATATGTAATTATATATGATTATATATAATTCTATATAATTATATATGATTATATATGACCTCATATACAGTTCCATTTATAATCATGTATGATTATATATAATCTTGCATGGCTGTGTATAGCTCCATATATGGTTATGTATAATTATATATGATTATATATAACCTCATATACAATTCGATATATAATCATGTATGATTATATATAATCTTGCATGGCTGTGTATAGCTCCATATATGGTTATGTATAATTATATATGATTATATATAACCTCATACACAATTCCATTTATAATCATGTATGATTATATATAATCTTGCATGGCTGTGTATAGCTCCATATATGGTTATGTATAATTATATATGATTATATATAACCTCATACACAATTCCATTTATAATCATGTATGATTATATATAATCTTGCATGGCTGTGTATAGCTCCATATATGGTTATGTATAATTATATATGATTATATATAACCTCATACACAATTCCATTTATAATCATGTATGATTATATATAATCTTGCATGGCTGTGTATAGCTCCATATATGGTTATGTATAATTATATATGATTATATATAACCTCATATACAATTCGATATATAATCATGTATGATTATATATACTTATATATAATTATATATACTTATATATAATTAGATATGGGACTATGTATAATCTTGCATGGCTGTGTATTGCTCCATATATAGTTATGTATAATTATATATGATTATATATAACCTCATATACAATTCGATATATAATCATGTATGATTATATATACTTATATATAATTATATATGATTATATATGACCTCATATACAATTCCATATATAATTATGTATGATTATATATAATCTTGCTTGGCTGTATGTTGCTCTATATATAGTCATATATAATTATATATGATTATAAATAACCTCATATACAATTTCATATATAATCATGTATGATTATATATGATTATATATAATTCTATATAATTATATATGTGATTCCATATATAATCATATATGATCATATACAATTATATATGATTATATAGAAACATTTTTTCTCGGGTATAAATAATTTTAATGTATCGCATTTTCTACTTCGAATGTTTTCTTAATAACAAACAAAAAAACAACCTATAAAACTTTATAATGATTTTACTTATTAAAAGAAATTACTCGAAAAATATGTAACAGAAAATGCTGCTATCTACAGAAACAGTGAATAAAACGAACTTTTGATTCATGTAACATTACGAAAATTAATTATATACTCACCATCGATTCAATGACAATAGTGGAAAAAAACATAGAAATTATTGCATTAACTTAAAAATCCGAAATGAATAACTGAAATGTAGCATGATTATTAAAAATTATATTCATGATTTTGATTATATATTATTTCTCAGAAATAGTCGATGTATAAAAATTTATCAACTATCGATAATCATAGCAAACAACAATTATTGAAGATTTCCGCACTAAAATTTTTAATACTAAATAAAACAGTGGGAAGTTTTCAGTAACCATAATTATTATAATTACTTTTCAGCCACCTAATAATAATGTATTTTTTTTAAAAGAGTGTAATATCAAATCAAACTTATAGTATATATACTAACTAAGTATATTTCAGAACAGTTTGGAAAATTTAAGATTATACATCTCAAAAAGCTTATTTAATATTGATAAGAAAGAAGTTGGATGAAAAATTAAGTCTTAAAAATGTTCTTATAGATACAGCTTCTGTAAATAATTTAAATTTTTAAGGAAGTGAGAGCGCCAGGCGGGTCGGGGATAGGTATCGACTCTAGCGCGGTAAGGGGAACGCAGTAACCATATAATTTTTCTGCCCTCCGGCCGGAAAGTGGCAACTTTCTGGCCGCTGCGCTAAACAAAGTTGCCACGTTCCGGCTACGTCGAGCAGAAAAATAGTATACATACCTTGGCCAGTAAAAAGTAAAGCCTCAGACCACATGTTTGTCAACCTCGGCTTCGCCTCGGCCAACAATTACATGTGGTCTGAGACTTTTCTTATTTTACTGGCCTAGGTATGTAATATACTATTTCTCAATATATAGATATACATTTAACATAGGCTAGTGGCGGCATTTATTTTTCTTTTAATTACTACACTTTAATTAATCGGGCAAGTGTAAATGTTTTTGAATTAAATTTATCACTAATATATTTACTTTCATCCATAAGTTTTTTAAAAATATTCACCGACAGTTTTACGAGAAAAATACAGAAATGTAGCAATGTTTGAAGGTTACCCCATAAGACCAATGTTAAATTGCTCAACTTTAAAGTTAATTATTTATTTAAATGATCGGTCAATCTCCTTCAAATTTTCGGAATTTGTTTAGACATATTTAAACTTCATATTAAAAAAAAAATCAAGCCTTTTATCAAAAGTTGCCTTGGTGCTCGTACTTCCTTAATACCGAGTGTCATCGACTTTTATCTTATGAAAAAAATTTTGATAAATTCAAGAAATGTCAGTCACTGTATCTTGAAATGGGACACCTGCAGATTAGTAGGATCTCCTGAATTATCTTTTTCAATCATTTAAAAGCATTTTTCTTTAAAGTTTTTTTTTGGTTTTTTTGTAAATAAATGGCGAGTTTAAGGTAGTGTCGTGGTTAAGGCATACCGTCAGTAAACTTTAAATTTTTGTATACTTATTAAGGACATGATGATACAATTACCCTTAAAATTTGAAGTCAATTGACCACCTATAACCCGATATGAATTCAATTTAAAATTGGATATTTAACGATTGCATACGCTCTCTGCAGTTCTGTACCAATTTCTTAGTTATAAAAAAAAAAAACTAACTATCATAAACAACCAGTACTTGTAGCCGAGCGGCTAATGTGCTTGACTTCGAACTACGGGTACTGGCCAGGCATGGGTTCAAGTCCCACCATGGTCGGATAATTTTCACTATGCGCCAGGTTAATTTTCGATTATCTTCGACTGTGAGGACTCGGCTCACTGCTGAACAAACATGGGCTGTACATGATATTCATAGAGGCCAGCTGGACTACACCAGCGAGGAATATAAAAAAAAAAACTATCATAAAACCTTTCAAAAAACTGACAGTCTTTTAATGTATTTGTTGTAAATTTAAAAAAAAATTTTTGACCGTCTAATTATTTATAAATAACGGATTAAAGTTCAACACTTTATGAATAAATATATATCTACGGAGTCGGACAGAAACAATTGTATAGGTTGAGTCTCCACGGGTACAGTCTTGCGTAAAAAATTATGGATTACTTAGCTACAAGCTCATATACTTTTGCGGCGCGTATAATCTCTAATTTTTTGACAATATTGTACCATGACAACTACCTTAAAAATCGCAAGCTCTCTTAATAATTGTATCAACTCTTTGAAGAACTAAAATTTTAACTCTTCGGGGCTTTTTAGGAAATATTCTTCTTTCTTAAAAAAATAAATAAAAATCAATTTTTTAAAAAGTTATGACTAGTAATAAAAAAAAAAAAACCCTATTTTTTGGAAAATTTGCAAATTTTTTTCAGTTAGGTAAACAAATTTGCAAAAAAAATTTTTAAAAAATTGAAATGAAGTCGGGTTTAACGGCGACATAGAAAATAACTGTACACATTAATATTTACAATAATTCATTTAAATCATTTTATTTAAGACATATTCAATAATAAACTTTCATCTTTCAAATAATGGTTAAATTGACTAGCGTATCGTATTTTCAAGATATTAACAGGATGTTATAATGGATATAGTAGAAGAGTATCTAGAATTGAACGACACAACGCTCTTATGTTTGGCTGAATTTCTTCCTCATTTTGTTCTAATAATTTTAATATTTCTACTCCTCCTTCTCGAATTAGCATACCACAATATTTTTTTGCTAAATAATAGAAAACAAAAGTTTAATTAGTTGTACATTTAAATAATTAAATAAATATAAATTTCTTACGATTTTTAGTGCAAACATGATGGATTGCCCATACAGCCCATAGCTGCACTGGATAAGCTTCAGTACACTTAAGGAGCGAAAAAAATGGCTGAAAACTTCGGTAAGCTACCATTTCTCCTTGCGGCGTTTGCCAATTAGTCACTGCATTAGCCAATTGATCCAATAACTGTTCTCTCGTTGGTAATGATTGATCAGCAGTCCATGCCTCCCACGCTCGCGGACCATCACTCAGTAAATGTGCAGCAATACCCGCTGCGAAGTAAGACACATCAATGTGCCTTGAATCCAAGAGCATTGAGAGCATTTTTATAAAGCGTGACTCCATCAACTGTTGTCTCAAGTGGCCTACCTACGACCATCGGTGACCTTTTAACAACAATCGGATAGAAAAGCCTGCGCTCGACTTATTATTTATATCGGATATATTCTACTAGTATTTAATCTTTTCTATAAATCGCAAATAGATATCAACAAAAAAATCATACTTATATATTTCACAAAACACTTCAAAAAATTGGAAAAATCCAGAATGACACGTTTATAACGCTCGCAATAAAAAAATTAAAAACAACCGTTTCTACATCAATTTAGGATAATATTTATACACAAATTATAATTCTAATAAATATTAAGTTGGACTAGTATGACCGTTAGCGAAAAGAATTCATCTCTTATTCTAGGTAATAAAATAGAACAACAGTCAAATATTTGATCATATTTCACAAAAAAGCTTCAGAAACGATGTCATTTCGATACTTGTATGTTTAAAAAATTTCATGTACGATAAGTAACCGTAAAAAAATTCTCAAAACTAAAGTATTATATAAAAATCTTAATCAATAAGTTAACTCGAGTTAATTACGATCGTAATTATGATTAAATTAATCGTTAAAAATAATTTACGTAAAGATGTAAGATTTTATCTTATAATAGAAAAAAAAAAAAAATTATGAAGCCTCTTTGAGATTATATAACCTTTAAAAATGCGGAATACAAACCTCAGCTATATTATTGAGCAATCCAAGAACTTTTGTTTCTACATTAGATTCATTTTGAAAACATTCAAGAACCTCTAAAAAAAGTTCCATTCCACCTTCTGCAAGAAAAACCTGACAAGTCATAGCGCTTTCATCCGTTAGATTCCATAACGCACTTAAGGTAAATTTCATGGTAATATCAGCAGATCTCACTTGAATTTTTGATCGTACCATTGAAAGAAGTTTTGCCATATATTGAGGCTTAGCACCAAGCATTGATGTTTCTACTGTAGAAATTTTAGCAGCCAAAATTGAACAAATAGCAACTGACATACGATTCATAGAGACATCATCAAATGCAGAGAGACAATTCATTACTAACTTAGCGCACCTAATAACATATGAAAAGTGATTATTTTTTTCTAATTAAAATTCTAGCAATAAAAATAAATTCATTAAATCAAAATTAGTTTTAGTAATATATTAGTTACAAAAATCAAGGAATAATAAAAAAATGTAAAAGTCTTAGACGATTTTCAAAACTGTATTCAGGAACAAAATTGTAGAGAGAAATGATTATTATTCAAGAGACAAATTTTTTTCTACAATTAAGCTTAAAAAAATAGGAAATTTTTTTCAAGTCCAAATTAAAATAATCAAAACTTAATGCTTCGATTTTTATTTTTTTCAAACTCTATATCAATCATCACTATCTAGCAACCTTTAAAAACATTTCAGATTTTTTTTTTTTTCTTAATTCTTGTGGGTAATATAGAAATGCTCAAATCTCCTTATAGTGACCAATTCCGTACATCATCATTTCTTGTAGTACCTGATCTCTTTTAAGTTAATATTAATACTTATTACCGTCGTATTTTAATTTCTTTTAAAATTGCACGACTCATAATGCGAAGCATAAGAGTGTTTTAGGATCGATAAATTTGTTTTAAACTGAATTTTTTTATGCGAAATAATGTTTCGCAATAAGAAGTTTTTTCATTATATTTCAGAAGTTATAGATTGAAATTATTGGAAAGTATTTTTAATGTGTAATTTAAAAATTTTGAAGTAATAAAACTTTTTCAAATATGTTCCGTATAATATTTAATCCGAATAAAAACAGTTTCACTGTAAAAAAATAGCGCCAAGTCCTCGTTCATAAGACTATTAAGAAAAAAAAATTTTATTTCTTTACAAAAAGATATAAAATAAAAAAATTTAAAAAATCCAAGTAACCGATATGGTTGTATATGATTTTTCGGAAATTCCTAAAATCTATCTACTAGGACTTTTAAAAAAATTGAAGTACACAAATGACGCACACCAAGTACGTTAAGTAATCGCTCCTAAAATGGTATAGGAAAAAATTTCATTAAAATTATAGGAATGATTTCCATATTTTTCTCTCCGTGTTTTCAGTATTTTTTGTAATTATAATAAGAATTGACAATTTTAATTTAATACATTTCCGGTGGCAAACTATCCCCTTTGAGCTATAGTTCATGTAAAAGTTATTCTTGCACCGCCTGGCGTGTGTAATTGCAAGCTGTCAAATATCTTTTTTTCACTGTAGTTTCCCATCTATTATAAGATTAGCATGCATCCTTATATTATTTAGTCTCTGGCCGTCCGCTTTTTACATAAGAAAAAAGTTAAAATCTAAAAATCCGGGTCGCTATAGTTTGTGCTGATTATTTTTAATAATTTTAAATAGAAATTATAAAGATAATTGATAATAATCAAGTAATACGCGTAATAAAAAGTATGAACCACTATTATAAAATATCATATAAAAAAAATCAAAATAAATTTGAAAAAAAATTTGTAACCTCAAAAAACCGTTCTGCTTATGGTATATACACACTCGGTAGTCTGGCTTGAGAACGGAACTTGGCGCCAGACACTATCGAGTCTGTTGATTAAACTTATGAAAAATTGATATGTAGTACTTTGCATGTGAGGTATTACACGCCAAATCGATTACTTGAGGACCTGGCTTTCTTCGATTTGGTTAAACTTTTTTTTTTCATTTCTATCCTATTAAAAATGATTTTCAGGAAATGTTCAAATTTTTTTACTTGACCAAAAAAAAAATTCAGGAATTTACTTAAAGAGATGTTAGGAATGTACCTTAAAAAATAGAAAAAAAAAATTAGGAAAACGGTTGACCCTGAAGGCCATCTCGGCAACTTCCCGCTAATTCCATACCTGGGCGCTTCAAATTGCACTTATGACTTTTTTGAGCTCTTTGAGCTCAAAAATACAGTTTAGGTATTATTTTGAGCTCTCCGAACTCAAAGAGATATCTTTCCTATGCTATTGAGCTCTTTGAGCTCAAAAATCTTATCAAAGTTCGATAAAAAACGATTTTTTTAATTTTCAAACTGCTATAACTTTTAAATGAATCAACCGATTTGCACGCGGGCAGCGGCAATCGATGAAGTTTTTTTTAGCTCTATAAATAATTCTGAACAAAAAAATTGATCTGATGAAAAATTTCGGAGTTATTATAAAAAAAACACTTTTTTCGACAACGATATCTCACGAACGCATAAACCGATTCTGACGCTTTTGGTGGCGATCGATGCGGGTTTTCAAGGTTAAGAGCTGACTAGTTTTTGATGTCGATCGGTTCAGCCAATTCGGAGATATTGAAAAAAAATAAAAAAAAAAACAACTTTTTTTGAAATTTCTCGAAATCTACTGGTCCGAATCGGTTCCAACTTGCAGGAAATCTAAGTTTGGCGAAGATCTTTCGAATGACACCAACTGCGATGAAATCGGTCAAGCCGTTCAGAAGTTATAAGAGGTTTACACACACACACACACACACACACACACACACACACACACACACACACACACACACACAAAAGAGAAGAATATCTCAGCGTGGCTACCGACGAACTAACTCTGTGGAACTGGTTGCAGAGTACAAAAAAGCCCGTCGATCCCTGAACAAAGCCATCAAAGATAGCAAAAGAAAATGCTGGAAGGAGCTCATCAACGAGGTGGACAGAGATCTGTGGGGTCGGCCGTATAAGGTGGTTATGACCCATCTTAAAAACCAGCTAATGCCATCACCCACGTGTCCTCAACTCCTACAGAAGATCGTAAACGCGTTGTTCCCCGAACAAAGCGAGTTTAACTACCTAGTAGCGCAGAATGAAATGGATAACATTCCATTTGTCACGGAGGAAGAACTAATGGAGGCTTGTAATCGTGTAGGGAAAAATAAAGCACCGGGATTGGACGGGGTCCCCAATATTGCCTTAAAAACAACTATAAAAGCAATCATAAATTATTTTTCTTTACAATCACGTACATGAAACCTGGTGTTAAGTAATTTATTTATTCATAATTAATCATCAAAATTGTTGAAGATCAAGAATTTTCAATTTTCAAAAATTTATAACTCAGAAACTATCAATTTACGAAAAATTTTATAAGAGTAATTTTCATCTTAAAATTGCCTAAAATATTGAAAAAAATATATCCGATCTGAAAAAAAATGATTTCTTAAATAATTGTTTAAACAAATGGCTATAAACAATAGATAGCCTGGGATTTCTTCTTGTGTATTGGGCTGACGAACGAGACTTTCCAGTCTGCTGGGAATGTCCCAAGCTGAAGTGATTTATCGAAGATATGAGTTATGGGCTCACAGAGTCCGGTAGCGCAGTTCCTGAGGAAGATATTAGGAATCCCATCCGGTCCAGCTCCTTTCTTAGGGTTCAGGCTCATCAGTTGCTTGTATACATTATCGAAGGTGGCCTCAAAGTCATTCAGGTCGGCATTTTGCTCGTCGAGGTCAATTCCAGAATATTCATTATCACTTGTAGCAGGGATGTATACACTTTCAAAGTAGGATGCAAATAAATTGGTTATATCTGTACCAGTGTCAGCTGACAAGTCATCCCAGAACACGTTCGACGGAATGTCTGAATTGTTATGTCTTTTATTTTTAATGAATTTCCAGAAGCAATTCGGATCAGACTGGACCATAGATTCTACACGGTTGACATAGCTTTTATAGCACATTAAGCTCAGTTTCTTACAATCAGATCTCAGGAGGCTGAAATTCCTGTAATTGATTTGGCTTTTACATTTCTTGTACCTAGCATGAGCTGCCTTTTTCAGTCTTATTTTATCTTTAAGTTCATTGGAGAACCAGCAAGGGAAATTATCTTTTTTGCACTTGTGCACTGGGACATATTGGTCAATACCTTCTTGCACTTTGTTGTAGAACCACGTGAGTTTTTCATCTATTAGGTCTATTTTATAAAGGTCCGACCAATTTGTTCGAGGAAAGAAGGTGTTGAGGCTGACATAATCAGCTCCTTTGAATGCCAGGTATGGAGAGTTATCTGACTTGAGGCTTGGTGCGAAATCAATGTTGATGTCGAGAGCTGGATGATATTTATCCTCAGTAGTCAATGCAAGTGTTTTATCCAGAGACAATTCAAGGTCGCTAAAACAGAGGTCCAGCAGATTAAAGTTGTCATTTGCGGTGTTGTTAAACTGCCGGCATTCAAGAAGAGCGAAACCTTCGGATACCAGTTTTTCACAATCAGCACGTGGAGTGCTGGTCGGCAAATTGTAATCACCTAACACCATAAGTTTTGCATCTATATGCTTGACTTTAATGTCGAGAAGTGTATCGAGGTGCGCCTGGTAATTATCGAGAGTAGAGTGCGGTGGAAAATAGACACATCCAATGATAATGTTACTGTGAAGGCCTGGGACTTTGATGAAAATTTGTTCCAGCTTGGTATCTACTGTTGAGATAGTCTCTGCTTGAATGGAGCGTTTGGTTGCGATAAAAACACCGCCACCACGTTCGCTTACAGCAGGGTCCCTGTCTTTTCTGAAAACCGAGTAAACTTGGTCAACTAGTTCCTCATCAAGTATGGAGCTATGCAGCCAGGACTCAGTGACACAGATAATATCAAACAAACTAGTTGCTGTGGCAGCCTGGAAGCTGCTCAGCTTTGTTCTTAGACCTCTCACGTTCTGATAATAGAGTTGCAGGTGCTTTAAATTTACCCTTTTCTGAGGGCATGCGAAAATTTTTGTTCACGATTCTTGGAGTACCATTAACGTATTTAATTGTCTTCGTCGTGTTGCCATTTTTAGTGAACTCATCGAGTTCGGTGCGTAGTTTATTAAGGTGCGACTGTTGCAACGGAGTAAGGTCGGATTTAAAAGAGATGTTAGTATTACCTGTTGCTGGAGTTTTTGACTTCAGAATGTGCTTAGCAGTACCAGCTGAGCCAGTGTTAATTAGCAGAGGACGAGTGCGGTCTACAGTTGGTTGACCTAACCGACGAAACTTGAATTTAGGGATTTCATCCACCAGCTCCGGGGGTAATGCTGTTGCGATATTGTAGGGAGTAATCAGGTGAAAAGACCAAAGTAATCCGTTTTAACTATTTATTTTCATAATGCAACGTTTTGTGGGTTTTATTCCAACATCTTCAGGCATCTGACAACAGACAGACAATACAACCAATTAAAAAATTAAAATTTAAAAATTTTAAAAATTAATTAATTTGCAATACATTATGTCCAAATTAAAATTAATAAATTAATTCAATTATTCAATACATTATATATTCATATATCAAATAATCAAATCCAATTAAATAAACCTATTACAAATTAATGCATAACAAATGTACTAATAGATTCATTCAATCAATTAATAGAATTTTAATAAATTACACATATCCAAAATTATAAATACCTTGAAAAGTCTGTCAAAACATTGTCAACACTCTGATCATTACATAACAGATTCATGTATAAATTCTTTTATTTAAATATCAATCTTCCAAACTTAGTCATACAATCGATAATTTGCAGAAATCCAAATTTACAATTAAGAAAGATTATTGAAACTATTAATAAGTAAACAATTATTAATAAACAACTAACAACAACCTCCTCTAACGCAAGTTACTCTCAACTGTAAACAGCTGAGAGTTACCCATTCCATGCACCCTCTCGTGGTGACAATAATAACTAAGCCCACGCGGCAAATTCAACTGATCTACGCCGAATTTCTGTTGCCCTCATATTTCTCAATCAACCCTATGTACACTTTACTGAGTCGGTCAGTGTCTGTTCTCCAATTCACCGTGTCCGACAAACATATATGAACCATCTCACTGATATTACGTTTGAACCAGTTTCCTTCTCTGTCCACAATCTTCACTCCGTCGAAGTCGAAGTTATGACCTGTTAAAAAATGATGATTCGCCAGAGCAGTACGGTCTTCTTTGCTCCTAAACTTCTCCTCACAACTATATCTATGCTGATGCAGTATAAAATGTTTTTTGTTATTGTAAGCAGATTAATAGTATCAGATTTGAGAAAGTGTTTAACAAGGTCAGACATAAGAACTGGAAAAAGTTGGAGAGATTGGTTAAGGACACTGTGGGAGTGGTTGACAATGAAGATAACAACAAGCTGGTATATAATTATTCTGGTGTTAGTCTACCTGACTGTGTCATAAATGTACTCAAGTTATCTCCTAAATTTGGTGTTGAGTTGGAGAGGAAAGATATGCCTATTCCCACGCTCATTAAGGACCTCGAGTTAATTGTTAATAATTAGTTGGTATTTCCAGGATTAAGATCCAGGGAGCGGATTATAGGGAATTGGACAACATCAAAAATAATGTGAGAATGAGAGCACTGAATTCTATCACTAACTGCTGCAATGGTGGTCGATTTGAAAAGGACCAAAAAGTTCCTGGAAGAACATGACGAGTTATTGGTTATAAGATCGGATAAGGGTGGTGCAACAGTAGTAATGGAAAGGAATGAGTACATTAATGTGATGTCAGAGATGTTGGATGATCAGCTGGTGTATAGGAAGATTAATGCAGATCCTACTAATAAGTATCAGGTGAAGATTAATAAACTGCTTAAAAGGTTTGTTAATGAAGGAGTTATGGATGAGTTGATGGGTAAGAGTCTGATGACGTTGAATGCGTTACCACCAAGACTATATGGCCTACGTAAAGTCCATAAAGCAGGGTGTAAAATGCGTCCTGTAGTTAGTTGCATCAAGTCTCCTTGCTACAAATTAGCAGCGTTCCTTCATTCATTGGTAATGCCGGTGATCAATAATTTTGAGGTGAATGTGAGAAATTCAGCTGAATTGGTGGAGTTTCTGCACAGTGTCAGATTACCAGAAAATTATGTCTTGGTATCATTAGACGTGGTGTCCTTATTTACTAATGTACCTAAGTAATTAGTATTGTTAACAATTAAAAAGAATTGGGACAATTTTAAATGTGGCATTAGTATGCCGAAAGACAATCTGATTGAGTTAGTGAAAATGTGTTTCGACACCAGTTATTTTACTTTTCAGAATGATTATTACATTCAATTGGATGGATCAGCGATGGGTAATCCTGCTAGTCCATCTTTAGCTAACCTGATGATGAATCATGTTTTGAGAAAAGTGTTGGAGATTGTACCATTTGAAATTGCTTTCTTAAAACTCTACGTAGATGATACCTTGATGGCAGTTCCTGAGACTGAGGTGGATGGTTTACTAGGATGGTTTAACAGCATACATCCTAAGATACAGTTCACAATGGAGAAGGAGGTTGATAATACGTTGGCGTTCCTGGATACATTGGTAATAAGGATGCCAGATGGTGGATTACGGACAAGATGGTACCAAAAACCCACAAGTTCTGGCATTTTGCTGAATTTTAAGTCTCATCATCCCATGGCGCAAAAGAGTAGTGTGGTCCTGGGCTTATTATACAGAGCTTTGAAGCTGAGTCATGCAGAGTACTACGATGAGAATTTGAGAAAAGTTCGTGAAATTCTTGACAAGAATAATTACCCAAGATCGTTCGTAGAGGTCTGTTTGAGAAGGTTCAAGGCTTTGCATATGAATGATAATGGTGTTAATAAGATTAAAACTCAGGGGAATAGGTTCAGGTTTCCTTTCGTGAAGGGCCTCAGTCATGGTACATCTTCAAGTTTCCGGTTTACGGACTGGAGACCGGCGTTTTACAATATCCGCACTATTGGGGATATATATTCAAAGCTGAAAGACATAACACCGCTGGGCCAGGCTTCTGAGTTGGTATATAAAATCCCGTGTTCTTGTGGAAAATCATATGTGGGCCAAACTCGTCAATACTTGTCCAAAAGACTGCATCAGCATAGATATAGTTGTGAGGAGAAGTTTAGGAGCAAAGAAGACCGTACTGCTCTGGCGAATCATCATTTTTTAACAGGTCATAACTTCGACTTCGACGGAGTGAAGATTGTGGACAGAGAAGGAAACTGGTTCAAACGTAATATCAGTGAGATGGTTCATATATGTTTGTCGGACACGGTGAATTGGAGAACAAACACTGACCGACTCAGTAAAGTGTACATAGGGTTGATTGAGAAATATGAGGGCAACAGAAATTCGGCGTAGATCAGTTGAATTTGCCGCGTGGGCTTAGTTATTATTGTCACCACGAGAGGGTGCATGGAATGGGTAACTCTCAGCTGTTTACAGTTGAGAGTAACTTGCGTTAGAGGAGGTTGTTGTTAGTTGTTTATTAATAATTGTTTATTTATTAATAGTTTCAATAATCTTTCTTAATTGTAAATTTGGATTTCTGCAAATTATCGATGGTATGACTAAGTTTGGAAGATTGATATTTAAATAAAAGAATTTATACATGAATCTGTTATGTAATGATCAGAGTGTTGACAATGTTTTGACAGACTTTTCAAGGTATATATAATTTTGGACATGTGTAATTTATTAAAATTCTATTAATTGATTGAATGAATCTATTAGTACATTTGTTATGCATTAATTTGTAATAGGTTTATTTAATTGGATTTAATTATTTGATATATGAATATATAATGTATTGAATAATTGAATTAATTTATTAATTTTAATTTGGACATAATGTACTGCAAATTAATTAATTTTTAAAATTTTAAAATTTTAATTTTTTAATTGGTTGTATTGTCTGTCTGTTGTCAGATGCCTGAAGATGTTGGAATAAAACCAACGAAACGTTGCATTATGAAAATAAATAGTTAAAACGGATTACTTTGGTCTTTTCACCTGATTACTCCCTACAATATATAATTAACATATGTAAACAAGTTAGTAGTAGTAGACCTTCCACCTGTGAATCCATGCTGCTTTGTGGTTATGACATCCTTGAAAGAGGTTGTCAATTGAACTAACACCACCTTTTCGAAGAGTTTTGCCATTTTTAAATTATATTAATTAACAACCAGGTTTTATAATTTTTTACTTTTACCACTTTATAATATTAATAACTTAAAAATTTTTACTTACCTATCTAGATTGGTAGGAAACACTGAAAAAATACAATTATGAGTATTTTTTCTATGACTGCAATCCTTTGCAAAGCATTTTGTATGGGCTTGTCTTTTAGCAACTACTTTATCGCCACTTATCCTTCAAAATTTATAATTTTTTCTTGCTTAAGAATTTTTCGCACCTATTCAAACACACATGGGGAAACTATTTTTGAGGTTAGTAAAAATTCACTAGTGTTATCTTTTCGAGTAGTAGTGCCACCATTGCCACTCAATATTTCTTTTTATTTTTATGCTTTTTGTTGTGGTATGTGTTTGGTATAAGTTGTCAATTAAGAAAGTGGAGGGGGTAAAGAGTGGCAAGCCGCTGGTATGGACCTTGCACGAGATCGTGGCACAAGGAACCAACTCAAGAATTGCCTATAACTTGCTCATATTTATACGTAAAAAGCTTTCAGCAGATGCTTGCGCATGGCTTAAAAAGGGCTAAAATGACAAAGATATGTGATTCACAGTGATAAAGTAGAGTCGAATTCTAATGGAAGACTTGCACAACATTGGCAATTTCTACCTGTCATAATCACTTGTAGCAGGATCCATAGGTAGAAAAAAATGCTAAAAACAATCGAACTTGGGAGCAGTCTTGCACAAGCCTTGTAAAAGATTGTTATATTGGTAATTGCTATATAGAATTATAATTTTATATAAAATGAATATTGAGAAGTACAATTTTGTGTAACTATCAATAAATATTGAAGCTAAAATAAATCTACTTACAAGATGTTGATATAGTATTCACGAAAATGGCAAGAAGAATTAAATGGATCGCACAATTGGATGCAACCATCTTCACTTTCAATCTTGTGATTACTTTTGAATTATTGTAGTACCATTTTCATTCGTATTAAACCTGAAAATAATCATATTATTATTTTAATTATTGTTTACAAAAAACTCCAATTCTTTGCCGGAGAAAAAAAAACAAGTTGTGAGAACTCACAATCGTTACAATATAGTTTATAATTGAGATTACTTAATGATTTTCTCACGATAAAAAAAAATTAAAAAATTATACAAAAATCCTGCTTAATTTTTATTCGTTGAAGAAAAAAGAAATTAATATCGATAACCTATTGATAAAAAAATTAGTAAAACACTCTGCAACTTTCCACCGACTTCAAATGCCAAGTGTTCTAAATTTGATTTATTGTGACGATTTTGAAGTTTTCGGGACACATTCGTACAGACATAGTAACAACCTCGTAAGAATAGTCAGAACTGCTTCCTAGGATCTTAAAACCTGAAGATCTGGTGAAAACTCGATGTTCGAAAACTGGGATGAAACCAATAACCACCCGATTTTTGAAAAGTCATTAATTTTTCTATCGATAAGTTAAAAAACTGTCGTGAAGCAAAATAGAATATAGTACATTTCGAATTATAGTCTCCTGCCCTACTCACTGGCCCATTCCGCGATATCAAATATTCTTAGGTTATTTGATTAAATTGAACTTAAATCAAATGACGGACTTAAGTACAGCAATAACCCATTTAAAATCTTCTACAAGTCTTGCGCAAGACTACTATCAAGTTTGAAGCTTGTACCTTATTAATTTCTTTAAGACTACATGGATCTTATGTTTGTACCAAAACTGCACAGATAGAAAGATTTTTTTTTATTTAATAAGCTTTATTAACTGTTAATAAATGATTTTTTAACATCATAGGATTTAATAAATATTTATTAAAAGTTAATAAATTATTTATTAAATACGATTTATTAAATGTTAATAAATATTTGGTAACAGTTAACGAATATTTATTAATATATTAATAAATATTTGGTAACAGTTAACGAATATTTATTAATATATTAATAAATATTTAGTAATGGTCAATGAATATTTGTTAACTGTTAACAAATATTTATTTAAAATAAAAAGCAAAAGTAGCAATTTTCTTTTGACACTTTTTATAATTCTGTTATATCCGGCGTTGCCTCATATAACAAACAGGGTCTCTCCCCTTCGACGAAAAGTGCAACGCTTGCACTTTATAAATTTCGACAATCACTCGGACAACACCTCGATTAAGAAATGAGCACACTGTCCACGTTCTGCCCACGTTCTGTCAAATTTGCAATTTTAGACCAATAACAAAATTCAACTCCCTTCCGAAAATCACGATCCAGGTATATAAAAACACTAAACACCACGGATCAAATGTTCACTCTTTTATCAAAGAATACGAAGGAAGGTATCTTCGTAGAACCCGTGTGGGTCCTTATACCGCGTTACGTATAAGGCAGTATACAGCACTCGGTCGCGTATACAAAAATCTAAATTCATCTCAACTTTTAACTTCATCTTCTACGAACCACGACAGTGTGCTTTTCGAGCAGAATCGAGGGCCCCGTGGACATAGTGATATCAAAATCTTAAACTTTTCGATCTATTACCTATTAACGGCGGATCTTAGTGTCTGTCAGAGTCGTTACTCTGCTTACGAACTCATTTAATAAACATTCTAACTGTCAAAACATAGAAATACGTGATAGTTCATAAGTGAATTAGTGTACATTGAGTGCGTCTCGCCCATAAGGGAAATAATTGAATAAATCATAAAGACCAGAACTTCTTGCTTCACTTCATTTTAAATTAAGATCCTTAACCTCTTCGAGTACACCGATCTACATCACGAGAAAAAGAGGAGAATTCAATCAAGGATCTATCGATCAACCAATTCAATTCGAATCAACTATATAAATCATAAAGGACAACTGTGAGTTCAGTATTTGTTACCGACTTCCCTTTAACTTCGCTGTTGGAACTCCTGGTTACCGGGAGGCGTTCGAAATCCACAATAAAAATAAAACTCTTGTAGCTTGTCTACAAGAGAAAATCTATCTCAAAGCGTGTCCGAGCTTCCTCAAAGCCCACTCTACCAATAATTATTTAATTATAATTAATTCGGACATAACAATTCTATTGCTGAAATACATGATAATAATTCAATTCACTAAATAAATTGACGATTTCAATATTTATTTATTTATTTATTTAATACACTAACGCCAATCGGCTATTTACATTATTATGATTATTGTTAATTTAATATAATAATATTGTTGATGGGGAGTATAAATCAATATACATTAGTTATTATTAATATAGATATTGCACTATAAAAGTATCAAATGAGAAAGTAAAATAAAACGTAAAAAGTAAAAAAAGTAGAAAAAGTATGCCAGTAAGTTATGAATAAGAATAGATACTAGTCGTTATTCGGTAGTTATAAGTGTGTTAATTATCTATTTAATATTATATTTTTTATTTTTGAGTTAAGGGTTTGCAGAGAATCTTCTAGGAAGTTGATGGCAGAGCAGTGTTCGTTGACTAGATTCGAGATTCTGTTTCTGGGCTCATGGAAGACGTAGCTCTTCGAAGTCTTTGCAGCAATTAACAGCCTGGTGTTTCTTAGCCCTGGTCTTGGCTTGGTGAACTTAAATTGTTTACGAATTTCTGGCGAGAGTATTAGGCCATTAATTACTTTATAGAAGAATGTTATATCAGCAGCTTGACGTCGACAGAGTAGACTGTACGACTTTGAGATGTTTACACCGGCAAACAAAAAAAAATTGTCTGTACAATTATTTTAATTAGTTAATTTCGATTAGTTAATTAGTTAATTTAATAGTTTTAATTAGTTAATTTCGAGTAAATTGCAAAAAAAAAACCCAAAAAATAGCGAAAATTCGATGTTTTGGCAAGAAAAAAAATTTTGAGATCTAAGGCAAGCATAATTTCCATGTATTTTAATCTGTTAAATACTAATTTCGATCGTACTTTAATCATAAACTTTTTTAATTCTAAGAAAATTGTAAAATATCCTTAAAAATTGCAAAATCGTGAAAAATGGGGATTATCTTGATACAAAAAATTTTGTGGACCCGGATTGACGAAGACTTTGATGTAATTTAATCTGCTTGATCTGATTCTGCAATAAATTCGGCCCATAGTCCCCTCAAACATTCATAAAACTGCAAAAAACCGATAAAATAGCAGAAAATTGCTGCTGAAAAAATGGTAAAATATTTTTTAAACACAATTAAATGTAATATCGTGA